TATCTTTACATTATGATTTCTGGAAGTTTTTATGTAAAAGGTTTATATAACACGAGAATTTCAGTCGACATACAAATAGTCTTGATACAGATTTTTTTTTAAAAATGAGAGCTAAATGTATGGGGCGTGCGTATTAGTATGTTAGGTATTGATGTCCTTCAGGATAATATACATTCCATCGTTAGTGCCTATGTTTAAGAATTTGGCATTTTCTAATCTTGGAGAATTTGTTTATTTTTTTAGGTTTTATAAGTAAAAGATTGAAAAATATATCTAAACGCAATTTCACCCTTTTCGTCTTTCTTATGCCTTTCAAATATTTATCGTTAAATTAGAAATTGAGAACAACACAATAATCTTATGTCACTGTTGCTGAAACAACATCCTCGTGGTATTTATTATCTTTGAAGAACATAATTAATGCGTAAAGTCCATGTGATGGTGTTAGACAATGACTAAAGATGATAAGATATCTAGTCATCCGCCTCTGACTACCAATATATCTCATTACATGAGAAGTACTTGAGAAATCTACATAGGCTTCACGTGGTTCCACCATATACTTTGGAAGTCATCATCGAAATGAAAAATATTCAGAGAAAGATAGGAACACTGACAATGTTTTACACTTAGCAAAGTTTCCTCCTGTGGTTTAGACAACTTGTCTCTAAATATATCTATACTAACAAGTTTTACTTGACAGCACAAACAGCGATCAAGATTTCTATAAAATAATCTCAGTTCTTTTTTAATTCTTTTTTTTTTGCATGTTATGGCCGCTCATTGAATCTAGATAATCATAATATTTCAACAGATACAACTATATTAATCCTGGTTAGTTTTGTATATCTTAAAATAAAAGAAGTAAAAGTGTTTACCTTTTTTTTCCTAAATAAAACTGTAAGTAAAATTTTATTTAAAACATTTAATACGGGAACAAAGTTTAAGTTGAACATGTTCTCGTCTATATTTTTCACTTTTTTATCTCCTTGTATTAGGAGTTATGAATTTTAGCTTGATAGTTGTGTTACAATTGGACTGGTCAAGTACCAATTTGATACTTTTAACCAGTTGAAACTTTTAGACTGAACAGATCCAATTGATTCATTTCAACTAGTCGAACAAAAATATTATAATAATGATCAGTTGAAGTTTGTAGGGTTAACAGATACAACTGATGCGTTTCGACTAGTCGAGCAACAGTTTAATCACTGTGACCGGTTGATCTATACAAATTGAACGGATACTAGTATGACAAAAGCCTGGAGCAGAAGAGACTCGGTTCCGTAGAATCGTGTACGACACCCCATTCTTAAACATTAAGAAAAATAGAACTTAGAGGTTGTTACAGTTTTATCTTGGACAAAAATCCTCAAAGAAAGTTGGCTTTGAGAACTACTGACCAGCTCACGATATAAAAAACAACTTTGTAACTCTTGTGCTTTATAAATGCGTAAACTACAACAATCATTTGTTCTAAGGGATAAAATATTCAATACTGTTGGTTTTCATAAAAAAAGGAGTCAAAAGCGACATATAACAAATTCCCAGCTCTATTCAGCCTTCAAGATATTTTATTACAGTAGAAAAGAAAAATATTAATAACAAATAATTCTCATTACACGAGGAGTGCCTGTGAAATCCACATAGCTGTACGTGGTTTCTACAATATACTACTACACTTTGTATAAATTTTCATCAAAATGAAAATTATTTAACTAAAATATGCTTTTAAACTAGTGATTTCAAAATTCTAAAGTTTATTAACTTGTTTATTATTTACATTAACACTAGTTAATCTTGCATTTCCAGTGTTTATATACGGCTAAAATCATCTGGATAAACGTATATAGCTCAATTACCTATAACATCTCCATCACACTAAAAATGATTTACATACTAACAATAAACCTCCGAATTTAGCTTTCCAGAATTTGCTTAGCTTAAATCATATCAGTAATTATAACACCAACACTGTAGACAATTATAAACTTCCAACTACACGCGTCCAACCTCGCTTCAACCAATACACTCCTACTTTCACTGATCATCAACACATTTTCCTTACACTTATGTTTCACCCATTCAAGACACAAATAACACGTATATTGTTTGGTAACTTCCACATCATAACACAGGACAATACCATTGGTTACATGTTCCCTAACAAACCTCTAATGCCCTCCAGTGGCACAGCGGTATGTCTGCGGACTTACAACGCTAGAAACCGGGTTTCGATACCCGTGTTGGGCAGAGCACAGATAGCCCTTGTGTAGCTTTGTGCATAATTAAAAACAAACAAACAAACAAACCTCTAATTTCTTATAAACGAGACACTAACATTAAAGAATTACTCAACAGTCAACTTCCGAACAACGTACAACTATCATCTGCTACTCAAGATGGTACATACAGTTGTCAGGGAAGCAGATGCAACACTTGCTCTTACAGTGATCATAGAACATCTGTTAGAGGCCCTAAATCAACGTATTCTGTGAATACCAATTTCACCTGTACATCTAAATGTTTAAAAGAAAAAAAGAAGTATGTTATAGGTCAAACCACTTAGGAGTTAATACATATATATTTTTAATATATATATAATTGTGGATACAACGTTTCGAGCAATGCCCTTCTACAGGTATCACTAAATGAACAGTAAATCTGTAAACGAAAACATTCTAAATCATAGGTAGCGTGACGTGACAATGTAACAAATATACATGTATAACAATACTTATAAGCAATTGAAACAATAAAAAGTGATAACTATATATATACATATACACCCAAATAAATACACACAAATGATTATACAAATACATATATACACATATACAAACACATGCGCGCGCACACACGCACGCACATACACATATGAATATATATATGCATTATAATTTAAAAATAATAGATACATATTTTACTGTATCAAACCTTTTAAGAAAGGATAAAACTAAAACGGGAAATATTACAAAAAATTAAAACGTTCATTTAACCCGTCTGGGTGGAAAGTTCCCAGGTCAAAAATTTTTTTCTTTTTTTGTACCTCGCGGTTATGTTTGTTTGGGGCCTTCTTCAAAACGAGAATTTTAAAATGGTTAAGGTATGGTTGTGTAGATTGAAGTGTTTAAAGCCACTGGTTTATTTGAGTTACAATTTATTATGTCTCCGAGATGTTCTCTGGTACGTTCTGCTAATAATCTACTGGTTTCTCTTATGTATACTTTTCCACAACTTGAGCAAACAATAGAATATATGAAGC